CAGAATGATGCCCAGTTTGCCATTATCAATGAGCCATTTAAAACTGAAGCCAATAAGGGGAACTTTCTGGAGATGAAAAATAAGTTTCTGGCCCGGAGATTCAAGGTGGGGATGAGGGATGAAAGGAACAGTGTTGAAGAGAGCTTGGGCCAGAGGTGGGCTCAGATCTGGTTGGACTGTAGGGAAGGTTAACACCTTGAGCGTGGTGTTGATGTTTGAGGCCAAGACCAGAGCGTAGCCTTGTGTTTGGGACTGTAGTCTGGATCTGGGTTGATGCTAGGGTTGGTATTGGTGTGGAGCTGGGGGTGCCCTGGGTCAGCAGTGAGAGCAGTGTGTCTCCAGCGTTGGATCTGGTTTGCCATCCACTCACCCACTGCTGGTAGATCCCTGCACTAACCCCCCTCTCTCCATGCCCTCAGCTCCTGGAGCAGGCGCTGGTGATTGAGGAGCAGCTTCGGCGGGCGGCCTACCTGAACCTATCGCAGGAGCCGGCGCACCCCGCCATGGCCCTCCACGCCCGCTTCGCCGAGGCCGAGTGCCTGGCTGAGAGCCACCAGCACCTCTCCAAGGAGTCGCTGGCGGGGAACAAGCCGGCCAACGCCGTACTGCACAAGGGTAAGGGCCGCGGCGGCCCCGCGCGGGGGAGGGCCCACAACGCTGCGTAAGTCTTCACCCCGCACCCCTCAAAATCTTCCCATCCCTCTGACCCTTTTACCCTCTGAACCACCCCCCTCTGACCTCTAACCTCTAACCCCACTCCTGACCCACCTGCCGCCCCCACCGCCCCGGCTTTTAGCCTGTAGGGTTTTTGCAGCCAATCCTCATCCATGTCTAATAGCATTCATATTAGTGCTTAAGAGAGGGGCTTTCTTCCCAGAACTCCATGAGACTGTGCCACATCCCCTCCAAAGGTCAGAACTTCTTCACTGACCCACATGCCTTCCATACTGCCCCCTCTCTGGGGCCTTGGCCTATGTAGCATCCACAAAAATCCTTATCCCTAGTCCCTCAGATCACATTCCTCACCTCTCATTCACTCCACAAGGCAGAAACTACCACCATCCCACCCTCTGACCCTGCCTCCCGAAACTTCCCTTTGACCTTCAACCCTTCCTCCCAAATCCTCTTATTTTGAAAATAAAATATTAAATTCCAAAGCTCTTTAACCATCTAATCATCTGGTGTAGTGACTGACTCCTGGACCCTTTGATTCCTGTTCTAATTCCTTGGATCTGTAATGCTGACCTTGTAACCTCCCTCCCCCCTTACATATTAAATCCTTGATCCTTAAATCTTTGACACCACTTACCACCTCCCCACACCTCCTATTTCCTCCCCATCATCCCCAACCCCAAAACATCACTTTTCTAGTATGGGATGTTCTGACAACTCCCCGCCCCCATGTCTTCCAATGTCTTCCCCTATCTCCCTTTTCTCCATATTCCTTTTCCCTCCTTTCTTCTCTCTCCATTTGTCTCTACGGTCCTCTGGTCTCTTTGCCTCTTTACCTGACACTTACTTCCCCCTCTCACTGAGTCACTCTCTTTTTCTGTGTACTTCCATCATTTTTTTCTTCTCTGGTTCTCTGACATCTGTGTTCTCTCACTCTCTTTTTCTGACTTTGTCCATCTGACTCCTCATCTCTTTTCCTGGCTCCATCTCTTCCTTTTCCTGTCTTTCTCTTGCCCTTCTTTCTCTGTGGCCCGGGCCCCAGTTCTGAACCAGCTGGAGGAGTTGCTGAGCGACATGAAGGCAGACGTGACCCGCCTGCCAGCCACGCTATCTCGAATACCCCCCATCGCAGCCCGCCTTCAGATGTCCGAGCGCAGCATCCTCAGCCGGCTGGCCAGCAAGGGCACAGAGCCTCACCCCACACCGGTAACCTCCTTTCCCTCTACTCCATTCTCCCTGTTGGTACTCCTGTTGCACACATATATACTTACATTGAATCCTATATGATACGGAAAAACGACTTACTCTAGCATACTCATCACCCTTGAGTTTCCATGCCTATGTGTTACACCCCTCAGTAATTCTGGAGTGTGGCCCATAATGTTCTTCCTACAGCTTCTTTCCTTTCAGACTGTAGACTCTCTAACGTGGGCTTCATCTCTATTCCAGGTCTTTCCCCCGGGTCCTTACGCTACACCTCCGGGGTACGGAGCAGCCTTCAGCACCGCTCCCGTAGGGGCCCTGGCCGGCGCAGGCGCCAATTACAGCCAGATGCCTGCAGGGTCCTTTATCACAGGTTAGCTGACTTCCTCTCATTCCTTCTTTTCCAAGCTTCTTGCTCAGCTACCCTTTTGCTGCTCCAGCCCATCTCATTTCCTTGGAAGTACCCAGTGTTTTATGGAATGGAGTTGTACTGGGGTTTGTTCTTCCCTTTTCTTAGTTTCTTTTCCATTCCCTTGGTCAAAAACTTCATCCAGGGTTCTGCAGCTTGGTACCTCTTCACTGAGCCTCCTCTATCTGAGCTACTTCAGGGAAAGAATGTGAATGAGAAAGGGGTATAGTGAGAGTTGGAACATGTATTCCATCATATGGCACAAGGAGGAATCTCAGGGAGAGGTGTTTGCCATGGTCTTCCTACCCCTACCCTGGACAATTGCAAGTGGCATGAGGTGACTTAGAAATGAGAATATGCTATTGTCCAAAAGGGATGTTTGGGAGTGAAGTAGGGATTTGATGCTTCCTTATCCCCTTCTCCAACAGCCGCCACCAACGGCCCTCCAGTGCTGGTGAAGAAGGAGAAGGAAATGGTGGGGGCACTGGTGTCAGACGGGCTGGATCGGAAGGAGCCCCGAGCCGGGGAGGTGATCTGTATAGACGACTGACTGGATCCCAAGCCTGCCCTTCACCCAGGCCCCGTGCCCGAGGTCGACCCCCAGCTCAGGCTCTGGGGCCTGCTGTCAATCCTCCGCCTTCCCCACCCCTTGGGTCACCACTGGGCTAGGAGCCCCTTTGCCCTTCTCTACGACTCAACTCGTCTCTTCAAGAAGGGCCCTTTGTCTTTCTCAACTCCCACATACCTTTCCCACCACTCTTTGAAGACTGCTGGTGAGAAGAGGTCTGGGTGGGAGATGGTTAGCAGGGTCTTCCAAGTACCTTTATCCCCCACTGCCAAACATACACAGCTTCCTAATAAATGGTTGTGGGGACGAAAGAGGTGGAGCTTCCCCAGTCTTTATTCCTGCAATATAAGCTCCATCTTGTGCAGAAGTGGGGGATTAGCATTGCCTGGCCTTTAGAAACTTCAGTGGGGGGAAGGAGCTTTGAAGAGAGATGGGGAACTTTAGATAGGGATGACAATGAGCCCTGGGAGGGAGGAGGGGAAGAGGAGGGGTGGCTGCATGTTTCCTTCCCCTACCTCTCCTTAAATAGAGTGTGGAGCAGTTACAAGGGAGTCATTTGCTGTTCCGCCTCAGAATAAAGGCGCCATTCACTGGCTCAGTTACCTCCTGCGTACTGGCATCTTGTATTGGGCATCTTATCCCCTCCACGGGAGCCAAGAACTGGTTGGGTGATACTCCCTCAAGCCAAAGAGGAGCTCCCCAGTCTGTCCTAGGGACCCAGGCAACCTAGAAAGGGTGGGAAAGAACACAGTGGGCCAGAACACAAAGCCTGGGATTCAGGTTCTTTGAGGACTTCTCCCCTTCTTCCTGAAGGCGCGAACACTGACTAAATTTGAGTGGGTTAGGCAGGGGGCCCAGTCGGGACTATCTTGCTTTTAGGACATAAGCAAAATAATGGAGAGCAGGCTAGGGAGACATGGGCACACCCTCCTCCCCAGGAGGGGCTGAGGAGAGTGGCAGTTTGCATGGCGAACCCACCACATCCTCTTTACTGCCCCTTCACTTTCTTGCTGCCCTTTCCCAGTCTCTTTCCACACTCACTCCTGGTCTGTCCCAATCCCCTCTTCTGTATCAGGTTTATTGGTTGTACATATAAATTATACTTTCCTTTCTGTGTGCTGTTATTTTTGAGTGGGAAAGTTCTTTGGGGGGAGGGATAAGGAAAGAAAGGGTGTTGCTTTCTGCTGTTTCATATTATCCATCTTTGTTTCTTTTTTAAAAAATCTTGTGACTACCTTTTTCTCATTTTTATTTCTTGGATCATCAATTAAAACTCTGAGGCTCTTTTTCCAACCCCCATCCTAGTGTGATGAGCTCAGTTTAGAGTTGGAGGGTGAGCAGCAGGATACCTACATAGGCCTCAAGGTTGAAACCAGAGAGATAGCAGGGCTTACTGGACAGAAGTGTTCAAGGGATTGCCTGCTGAGATTCAGAACTGCCTGTTATTTATCCTTTTGATCATCCTTTCCACCTTCAAGTTGCTTAGTTCTCACAAGAGTCAGTAGAGGTCACCAAAGCTCCACGGGTTTAATTCCAAGTGTGCAGAAGAGCATTTTTTGTTGTTGAGGGGGTGGGGGCACAGGGGTCAGACCATGGTTTGCTAAATATTTGAACTGCTAGACACTTCCTTGACATGTATTGTTCACTACCATGGTTGCTTAGAGGCTGAGAGAGATCAGACAGTTTTTGAGTGTTAAAAAAATGAAAGATAAACCCAACAAACATTTATTGAGTACACTATACATTTAACACTGTTGTTGGCCCTGGAGATAATAACAGTCACAAGTCAGTCATTGCTCTCATGAAGCTTACACTCTAGTGGGGGACACCAACAAAACACATTCTATCTGAGAATAAAACCAGTGGAAATAGATCAAGGTATTATGTTACAGAGGGTGAGGAAAGGAACAATACCAGGATGAATGCTGAGAAAAGCCTCCCAAAAGAAGGAACATTAAAACTGAGACTTAAGGATAGGAAAAAAACAAAATAAGGTTACAAAAATTGAGGTTTATACTTAAGTTCACACAGGAAAATGCAACTATGCACACCAAGAATTTAGATTTCTTCAGCAACAGAATGTCCCTTTAGAACCTAATATATAATTTATTAAATAACCATCTGTGTTCTAAATATTTCACCCATAGATGGTAATATCCTAGAGCATCTAGGACCTGGACTGACATAAGTTTTTACGTGCACAGAGATCAGCTGGGACTCTTGTTAATATGCAGGTTTTGATTCAGTAAGTCTGAAGTGGAATTCTGAGATTTTGCACTTCCAACAAGCTCCCACTGACTAAGTATTGTAAGATATTGATGGGATTTTAAAATAGAATCCATGGCATACAACAGAAGTCCAATTATGGGGCACAAGATTAAAACTGTGATGGGCATCTTTTTTCAGTAGTATCAGTGTTTCCCGGTGACTTTAAAAATACAGATAATATCAAAAGTTTAAAGTTTGATGCCTTACCAAATGTCTCCTTTCTATCCTTGATAGGCCCTAATTAGGTGCCTCAGATTAATGTTCTTTGGACCTTCTGATACCTGCCCTAACAGGTTGAAGGGAGATTCTGAAATGAAGTAAGGCAGAAGGCATCCAAGGCATCTTGATAATTTTCGGAACACAGTACTGGGAGTGGGGAGACAGGCACACTAGCACTGGCGGGGTGGGCAGAGAAGCAAACGCTTATTTTCCTCAATTCTCTTACGTAGTAGAGAAGTGAGATTAACATGACATGAAAATCAAGCTCTTCTCTCCTGATCCATCCTTTTGAAATTTTCAAACCATTGATACAGAATTGCTAAAATGGCACTTGTTGCTCCCACACACAACCGCCCTGAACAAAAGCCAAGTCACATTTAAGGAAACAATCTGTCTTCCCACGGAACGTAGACTTTGTTTTTATCATTTCAGAGCCACTTTATCCTGAATTATGTAAGGCTGACACAGTCTGCAGATGGGAGTGATTCGTCTAGGAGCCTCCCCAGCTCAGCATCAACACTCCCCAGGGCGTTCATTCCTACCCTCAGCTCCACTTCATCAACGCCAGTCTTGCGATGGGAGAGGGGATAGCTTTGGCATCATCCCCTTGTACTACAGCACGCCCTGAAAATACAGCTCCCACCTTCCTTCTGTCTCAGCTTCCGGGCCCCGCGGTTACAGCGTGCAGCGGGTCATGTGGGCAAAGTCCTTGATCTCCGGACAGTACAGAACTGGGGGAAACGAGAAGGGTTAGTGGCAGCGGGAGGATGCAGTCTAACCCTGGGCATTCTATCCCTACAGCCTCCCGGGATGGCCCCTCACCGTTGCTAGGCAGCGGGCGCCTCCAGCGGCGTGCGGGCGCCAGCAACCTGTCCCAAAGCCGTCGGAAGGCGCGCCACCCCGCGCTCCTCGGCCCCGACCCCTTCTCGCTCTCCTCTTCCTCTTCGTCGGCCTCTCCGCCGACGTCGCCACCTTCCCTGACCGGGCCACCAGCCTCATCAGGTTCACGTTCCGCCCGCGCATTTTCTTCCAACCGTGACCACAAGTCCGGGTCAACAGCGACCTCCGTGACCCCACCGCGCGGGAGCGGTGTGGGTGCGCGGCAGAAGGGGCACGTGACGACGCGGCGCAAGCGCACCACGCGCGCGGCCGCTCCGCTGCGGTCGCCGCGCGCCGCCAGCTCTCGGAGGCAGGCGGTGCAGAGCGTGTGGCCGCAGCGGGCGCGCGCCGTTCCGGGCAAGCGGCGCGGCGCGCGGCCCCCGAGGTTGAAGGGCCTGTAGCAGATGTTACAGTCCAGCTCTCCCCGCTCCGGAAGAGATGGCACCTTCACCAGGAGCTGCATGGTGTCCGCCGTGGACTCGAGGGTGTCGCTAACGCGGCCGACACTGTAGGCAGAACGAAATGGCCCTCCCAGTGACCCAGGTCGGGTCTTGGCGCGGGCGCCGCGGCCTCTGGCCCCTTTTAATAATGAGACCCCGCCCCCCCCAGGCGTCACGCAGTGGTCCGGCCGCTCCCTGCGGCGGCACGCGTGGGGGCGGTGGAGACCAGGGACCAGGAATGTCAACACTGGCCGAGCTGGTCCTGGAGTGGGGTAGGAGGCCCAAGTAGTGCCAGGACAGGGGTGATAAGGGGCACACAACCCTCTACTCCCTCCGCACCTTCCTTCATCCCCCCAGCACAATGCCTGAGCTCCTCAGTTCTACTACATATGTGCAAATACCCAGTCCCCTCCTGTGCCCCACTTCAGCCACTGGCACGGGTCTCTACAGTTCCTTGGACCTGTTCCTTCAGTTGGTCACACTTTCACAGCCTCAGCCAGTGACGGTGCCCATTCTGCCCGATCTTTAGTGGGCTCCTGGATGTTTGAACTGATGCTTCCTGGCAGTAATTCTCATTCTGCCCGAAACTCGCCTTAGTATACATGACCCCCGCCCCATGTTCTTGTAAGACTGGCTCCCCAAATTTCTTCTCAAACTGCTCAACTCCCAGTTGACATCTCAGCCTTAGGAGGAACTTAGATTTAGGACCATGGCCTTAGGAATGCTGAGAATCCTTTCCTTCCGGAGTAGTCAGGCCTGGACACCCACATACCATGATGGCTCCAGCAAAACAGCCCAGCATGAGTTCTGACTCAGGGGTCTGACAGGTAAACAGGACATAGTACTCACAGCCCACATTCCCTCATGGTGCCACACCCATCCCCAGCTGCCTCCTCACCCTCCTCTTCTGGACCTGCAATCCAGGTTCTGGTGTGGGGGGTAATATCTAGAACCAGTTGGCTTGAGTTCATATTCCAGGTACCACCACTTACTAGTCGTGACATTTTGAACAAGTTACTTCTCTGGGCCTTGGTTTCCTCATCTATAAAATGTAGATGATAATAGGATTGGATGAGCTTATATATGTAAAGTGCATAGAACGGTGCCTGGCACAGAGTAAACACCACATATTAACTATGATTAATATCCTGTGCCCCCAGCCTATATTGTGTTCATTTTAACTTTTCGCTACCCAACATTTCAACCCCCATCTCTCTTGGTCAATACAAGATGGACTTCCCTACACCCATGGCATTTACTGGTAGTAATAGGCAATGTAGAGTTTTTGTTTTTTAACTAGATTGTTAAAACCTTAGAGTTTAGTCTTTGTGTAGAGGTATACTGTTATTTTTTTTTATTTTTTTTTATCCTCACCCGAGGACATTTTTCGATATTTTGTTCAGATAGAGTGGAAGAGAGAGAGAGAGAGAAAGAGAGAAACATCGACATGAAAGGGACATATTGAGTGGTTGCCACTCACACGACCCAACCAGGGCTGGGGACAAACTGCAACCGAGGTAACCGAACCCGATCTCTCTGGACCGCAGGCCGACGCTGTAACTGCTGAGCCAAACTGGCCAGGGCTATACTATTATTTCTAAGCAAACATTTCAAAACTTCTGAGTTACGTTCTCTTTGTGGTCACTTGGGGGAAGCTACCTACTTATTCCAATGATGCTGTCATAACTCAAAATTGTTTTTGGAGAACTTCTCTTTGGCATAGTGTTAAGAGATCTCATTTTCTTTTTTTGTAATCTTCATCTGGAAATATTTTCCCATTGATTTTCAGGTAGAGTGGGAGGGGGAGAGAGAGAGAAACATTGATGTGAGAGAAACACATCAATTGATTGCCTCCCACATGACCCTGTCCACTGCGGAGGACCAAACCTGCAACTCAGGTACATGCCTTGACCAGGAATCCAACCCATAACCCTTTGATCCATAGGCTGACACTCTAACTACCGAGCCAAACCAGCCAGGCTCATTCACATCTTTTACTATCTCCAGTTGGTGATTAAATCTTAAACTTTGGGTAGATTTGATTATATCAATTCTCCCAAAGTGTTTCACAGTTAAAGCCTCCCTAAGCATCAGACCTGGATATCCATTTACTTGCTCAACTTACTTTCTTACTTATCTTCAAGAATCCAAACTGATGATCTTGTCCAAATCAGCATCTCTTCCAGTGTTTTCTGCTTTTTTCTTTATCCAACTCCAGAAATCTAGGTGTCATCCTTGACCTCTCCCTCATTTTCATCTTCCTTCTTGACTTATCATCAAGCCCAGTTCATTTTGTCTCCTAAAATATCCCTCTAATCCACTCACTTTTCTCCACCTCCAGTACACCACCCTAGTCCAAGCTACCATCATCTCTTGCTAGACCCTAGTAGGAGCCTCTTAACCAGTCAGCCAACAGCCATTCTGGTCTTCTGCATGCTTTTCTCCACACTGCTCCAAGTGATTTTTCCAAGTCTCAAACTCAGTCATGTCCTACAACATACCCCTTGCACTCATGTTTAAAACCTTTTAATATGGTGGTAGTTTAGTAGCCCCTAATTCCTTTGCAATGTGACTTTGCTGCTTCTCCCATTGAGGACAGGGAACTGAGCTCTATTTCCCTACCCTTGAATCTGAGCTTGCTTCATGACTTGCTTGATTGATAGAATGTGGCTGAAGTGATGAATTCTGGAGCATAGTCCTGCAATATTTCCCCAAGACCACTGTGTAAGGAAATGTAGACCAGTGGTGGATGAGGCCACATGGGGAAGAACTGAAGACCCCAGCCAATCGCCAGCACTAACAAGCAGATGTACCAGTGAGGCCATCTTGGATTTTCTGGCTCAGCCAACCTGCCAGTTGATTTTAGCCACGTGAGTGAGCCTAGATAAAAACAGCAGAGGAACCCCACAGCCAGTCATCAGAATAATGAAAAACAAATTGTTTAGAAGTTGTTTCAAGCCACTAAACTGTGTATCAATAGATAACTGATCTAGAGGATTTCCTATTGTCCTTAAGATATTCTGAAGTGCCGTATAAGGCCCTGTATATTCTGAACCTACCATTTCTCACGTCTGCTTCCATTCCCTCTTTAGACACTTTGGCTTGTATATTCTTTTCTGCCACAGGCTTTCTTGTATGCTGTTCCCCTAGCCCTCTTGCTTTCACCTTAGTAACACCTACTTCTCTGTCAGCTCTCAGCATGGCTTTCATCTGGCATTCGGACAACTAAAATTTCTGTTTGGGGATTGTTTGTTTGTTTTGCCCATTTGTAAGTTCCACAAAGGTTGTTCTGAGTCTGGTTTTGGTCACCGTTGTATCCTATTGTAGGAACTCAGTAAATAAATATTTATTTAATTAATAGATGAGGTTCCCTGGCCAGTGTGGCTTAGTTGGCTGAGTGTTGTCCCATGCACCAAAAGGTTACCAGTTTGATTCCCAGTAAGGGCACATGCCCAGGTTGCAGTTGGGTCCCTGGGGTGTGTATCAGAGGCAACTGATGTTTCTCTCTCTCTTTCTCTCTCTCGGATCAAAAACCAAACATACCTTAAAATATTAATGAATGAGGTGAGTGATAAATGTGGTAAATGAGGTGTGACAACAAAAGAAGGTTTCTTACAAGGGTTTTCTAAACTACCTCTGTAGGTAATTATAAGGAGTGTTTTTTGTTTGTTTGTTTGTTTGTTTGTTTTAAATGTTTTAAGCAATGTGGGAGGCATTATTAAAATAAGTGCATAACCCTCCAAGGTAATTATGTAAGAGAGGACTATTTTGAATTTATAAATTCAAGTGTGTTTATTACAGAATAACTAATCATAGTTTAGCTATACATTTTACCTCTTTGTTTCCTCCACAGTCTTTCAAAATGAGTGGAAGGTGATAGGAGTGGGATGTAAGTATGCATTAGTTGATTCAGTTGGTTGCTAATCCAGAAAGCGGCATGCTGCTTTTCTCTTTTGGAAATTGATTTTACTCTGCTCTCCCAGCTTCAGGATCAAGGGTGAGGATGGGTAGCAGGGAGATGGTGAGGTTGTAAATGTGTATATATTTTAATCCTCACCTGAGGATATGTTTTCATTGATTTTTTTAGAGAGAGAAAGAAAGAATTGATGTGAGAGAGAAACATCAATAGGCTGCCTCCCACATGTCCCTGGACTGGGGACCAAGCCACCAAGCCACAACCTAGGCATGTGCCCTAAGTGGGATTTGAATCCACAAGCTTTTTGGTGTACTGGATGATGCTCCAACCAACTGAGCCACCTGACAAAGGTGAGGTGTTTTAGAGAAGACAGAGAGCATTTTTCCCTGCCTTGTGATCTTTAAAGATTGTAACTTTCCACCCACTTTCTGTCTCAGGGAAATCAGAGTCCTTTGGGCAAGACTAAGGGGTTAGATCTAACATAATCCCATTTGATTCTGCTTTTCTGCCACCCTCACACTTTTTTTTTTATCCTCACCTGAGGACATTTTTTGTTCAGATAGAGTGGGAGAGAGAGAGAGAGAGAGAGAGAGAGAGAGAGAGAGAGAGAAACATTGATGTGAAAGGGACACATCGAGTGGCTGCCACCCACACGACCCAACCAGGGCCGGGGACAAACTGCAACAGGGGTACATGCCTTTAGCGGGAACCGAGCCCGGGTCTCTCCGGACCGCAGGCCGACGCTCTAACCGCTGAGCCAAACCGGCCAGAGCCTCACACTTGATCTTTCACTTGTTTTCTTTTTTCCCTTTATAATAACTCTTTTCCCTTTCTCTGTATCATCTCAACCATAAACCAGGTTTCATTTTACTTTTCCTTCACCAAATCCCAAAGCCTCAACCTCAGAACAGCCCCTCCTACTCAGCCACAAGAAAACCACCAAGATAGTTGTTCCTTGGCATATGTGTGGGTATCAGGTAGAAGTGATTAAGAAGTACAAGACCAGAAGTGTGGCTAATAATTTTCAAAACAAAACAAGGGCAGTGGTGTCAGAGGGAGGTAAAGGACCACGACGCCAAAGGACCACGACGCCAGATCTCTCTTAGTTCTAAAGAATGTAACAACTGAAGGAAGAAAGAAAACGGGCCGAGTTATTTGGTGCCTGGACCCTTGATGAGAGTGGTGCCTAGGAGCACAATGCTTGGGTCACTGAGGTAAATGCGCAATGGAGAGAAAGCTAGAACTGGAGCTTTCCAATGGCAGGGGGCTAGCAGGCCAGATATCTGAAACTGAGACTAAACTCCCACCCTCTGCATTTTCAGACACAGTGAATGAGAAAGGATTAAGTTAAGATTTTATTTACAATTCCCTGGAAAGTCTTACAGAATTGGGGCTATCATTATTGCTTGAAGATTATTGCCAAAAGGAAGACTGTAGTCCACTGCCAGGAAGGAAGTCCAGCTCAAGGCTCAAAAGTCTATCTCCAGACCTTCTTATGTCAGCCCCATATCTCTGCTGTGACCCACAGCTGTCACTATTTCCTGCGAAGCACCACCCAACTGTGTTTTCCAAGAGCTACCCTGGCCAGATGTATAGCTGCCATCAAATTTCCCTCCACCTTTGCCAGAGACAATGTATTAACACTAATTCTAGTTTTAAGTCCCCCTTCACCTCCTGGCTGGGAGGCAGGGTCCTGGTTTCCCAAAGATTATCATTTACTTTCTGCCAGGGCCAGCCTGGCTTCCTTTGTACAGCATAACTAAGAGCCCCACTTCCCTTTGTCCCAGATGACATCACAACACACTTCTTATTAGGTTATTACCCTTTGATGACATTTCAAGGCCCACTCTCCGTTTCTTATGCCTGTCATTTAGCTTTTTTAAATGGGCCTCAGCTATTGGGGTAAGAGGGAAAGGAGCGAAACCAAATGGCAGAGAGGGGACAGCCCAGTAGCTCATGCCTGGGATTAGCAATAAGACCTAGGAGAACGCAGCAGGTAGCAGCGAACTACTTTTCTTCTCCAGTCCCTCTGCGGAAGGATATGGCTTTGTTCATGCTTATCTAATATCAAAGCCGGAACTCGTTAGTGGGCGGAGGCCACTCTGGTTCTGGTCGCGGGAGGGATTTGGCTGCGGGGAAGCAGTTGTGCGTGGGCAGGGGTGCAGCGGTTCTGGGTTTGGGTCCCTGCGCCCCCGACCGACTATTTCTTGGAATGTGGTTTGTTCCCCAGGAGCCCGTCTATCTCCATAACCGTCTGCGGGGTCAGCTGGCTCAGCACCTGGAAGAGAATAGGGTCGTTGAGTCACTAAAGAAGGGCGTAAAGTTTGAGGGCATGAACTTAGAGGAACCAGAGGAGTAGCACAGAGGGCCAAATGGCAGGGAAAGAATCAAAGCTGTGCCCGTTTTGCCTTGTCACCCTGGGGCTGCTCACGTGCAAAGTGAGGGCCTTATAGTGAGTGACCTCACAGGCCCATTCTGGGTTGGACAATGAGGAAGGGGAATGGGAGAGATGGGCTTTGCCTCTGATTCCCCAGCTTACCTGTAGGGCGCCCAGGTGTTCTATCAGCTGCTCTGCACTTGAAGCCCCCAGCAAGACCGAGCTGACACCCTCACTACGGAGACACCACGCTGGGGCCAGAGGAGGAAAACAAGAGAACTGATGGGTAACAGCATATGGACTTCAGAAGTGTCTTTGAGGAAGAGGATCCTCTCTAAGGACAAACCAGTCTTGGGGTTGGGAGTTACTCAGGAGGAGACCAGGTCCCTGCAGGGTCCAGGGCTGGAAGTGTCTCACCAATTGCAAGCTGCGCCACAGTGCAGCCCAGCTGGTGAGCAATGGGGAGAAGGTCCATGACTTTGGCTTGTTGCTTCTTGCCATCCTCACTCTGCACCTTGTCCTTGAGCCACTGGTAGCCCTGGAGGCCAAAGAGAATCAGCAAAAGACCCACCACCACACCAGAACAGCCAAAATAGCACAGTCCTGCTATCCCCAAGCCCCAAGATCAAACCTTGATGGTGGCCCTGCAGGGATCTGGGACTCGCCCATCATACTTGCTAGTGATGAGGCCACAGGCCAAAGGGGACCAGGTGACTGAGCCAACACCTAAGAAGAGGAGGATTGGATGTGGGGAAAGTAAACAAGGTGATGGTGAACCCAAGGGAAAGGGAGGGATGAGGGGGCTGCGAACCAATCTTATGGTAGAGCTCTGGCAGCTGCATCTCCACCTTCTCTCTCTGAAACAGTTGGTGCTCTGCTTGTTCACACACTGGAGGAATCAGATTGAACTGTCTGGCCATAGAGTAGGCTTCCTGAGTAGAGTGGGAAAGAGATGGGAGTGGGGTGGGGAAGAAAGGGGGATTAGAACACTCCTTCCATTTTCTTCCTCCTCCAATAGACGGGGGTTTGGAGTGGTCATGTGAAAAGTAAGAACCAGTTGTGGGACAGGGGGAAGTGGGATGGCACACTCACCATGATTTCTGTAGCCCCCCATCGGGATGTCCCCCAGTATAGGGCCAGGCCCTGGTTGATGACATAGGTCATGGCTCGCACAATCTCTAGGCATATAGGAGAGGGAGAGCCTTACTGCCAGATCCCTGGCTTCCAGGCCTCCAGATCTACAGATCTCTGCCTGCCCCACCAAGACCCCAGGCATCTCTATGAAGTCAGAGGGGTTTGTATCTGCTCTTTGCCTCCCTCCCTGTCTAAGTCCTGGGGTCTGAGCTTCCACTGTGGAGCTTGGCAGGCCTCCTGAGTAAGGGCTAGCTTCCTGCTGAGGGTCTGAGAAGTGCTCAGTTTTGAAGGACTGTCAGGGTTGGGGTGCTGCTTTTACCCTCCATGGGACTGTTGGGATCTGAGCGATTAGCAAAGACGATGTCCACATATCCCAGCTGGAGACGTTCCAGAGATCCTCGTAAGCCTGCGGTAGGGATGAGGAGAGGAAGGTAAGCACCTCAGCTTTAGTTTCCGAAGAATTCAGACCTCACCCCTTTGCCATGGCCACCTAAATCCCAGTTCCCTATTCAGAGCCTCTAATTCAAGAGCTTTAGCGAATGCTCCCAACTCCTTTGGGTTCCATACCAAGCCACTTCAGGTTCCCCATCTCTAACTCTCACCCTCGATGATGTGTTTGCGGCTCAAGCCTCGCTCAGTTTCTGCCCTGTATGAAAAGGTAAGTCAAAGATGAGGTACGACAAAGGTAGAAGACCAGAGCTGGCCTGGCACCATGAGGAATTGGGATTGCACAGGCAGGATGCAGACCTGGGGTAGCAGGTACAGGGACAGTTGTTACCACCCCCATCCCATACCCCTTCACACATCCTCCGTAGATCTTCTCCTTAATTATAGTGGGGCAGCCACTTACTGTCCTCCCCCAAAAATCTTGGTGGTGATGACATAGCTTGATCTCCTGGAAGAAGAGAAATGGGAGAACCAGCAAGAAAAGGAATTTTGATTATCATGTCCCCAGAAAACCCTCAAAACACAGTCTCACCTCCAACCTTTGCTCTTGAGGATGTTGCCTAGGGTTCTTTCAGCCCTGGAAGGAAAACACTGTAGAAGCACTGACCCCTCCAAGGTGGATCAGTTCCTTCCCCTCACCCCCACTTTCCCCTTCAACTAATTTCCTCTCTTGTAAAGTGGAGCATAAACCAGGAGCCCATTTGGGCTGTCAGTCCCATCCTGGACTAAATAAAAGAGGCTCCTGGAACTAGGGGTGTAGTCATACAGTTTTCAATCATTTAACAAATATCAATTGTGTATCAACTCTGAAGCAAGCTTTGTTCTGAGTTCTGAAGGGATAGAATAGGATGAGGGGGGTGGGACAGACTAGAGAGACACTGGTTCCAACCATCTGTGTTGCCCTCCCCTTGATTTTCTGCAAAATCCCACCTATCCTCCAAAGCTTGGCTCAGATTCTGCCTCTGAGCAGAATAGAAAATGGTCTATGCTATACCAGTGGTTCTCAACCTGTGGGTCGCGACCCCTTTGGGGGTTGAATGACCCTTTCACAGGGGTCACCTAAGACATAACAGTAGCAAAATTACAGTTATGAAATAGCAACAAAAATAACTTTATGGTTGAGGGTTGCCACAACATGAAGAACTGTATTAAAAGGCTGCGGCATTAGGAAGGTTGAGAACCACTGCTAGGTGACGGTCTTTGTCAGCTTTCATAGCTCTTACTGGCTACACCAGTGATGTTTAACCATTGCTGTAAGAATTTTTAAAACATGCAACGCCTGACTATTTATTTAGTCAGGGCACTGACCTCTTTTCCCTCAGATTGTCAGATAAAAGATGACAACAGCCAACACAACAATGGCTGTCTGGTGTGAATGAATCAAAATTATACCTTTTTTTTTTTTTTGTCAGATTGGCAAAAATATATATTTTTTGGTGTTCTGCAGAATTTTGGTAATTATTTTGTGTGTGCCATGAGATGAAAAAGGTTGAAAATCACTTTGGCACTTAATGATGAGCTAAGGTATGACAAGTCTTAAGTTGTTATGGTGGACTGTTATTCAGTCTTTCATATCTCCCTGTCTTTTTGGTTGGTTTGTTTAACTACTTAGACTGTGAGCTTTCTGAGGGCATATTGATGTCGTCCCACAAGCATTGCCTGCTCTGTGCTAGGCTCTGTGTAGGTACTTAGGTGACATGGGAAAAAACAAGACATATTTCATGGAAGGAGGAGCATCCCAGTTAAGCAGCAAATGAAGCCATATGAACCAATAATTGATAATGGTGTGTCAGAGGTCAGTATAAAGTGCTTTGGAAACTGAGGGGGCTAGTGACCAACATTGAGGAATTGGGTGAAGTCTTCTTGGAGGAGCAGACAATTGGGCCAAGTCTTGAAGATGAGTCAGAAGAGTTTGCCAAATGGAGAGGAGGTAGAGGTAGGTCAACGTAGGTTTTGGCTACTCCTAGTGTGAAGCCATGGGTGTGTGATGTGGCATGGTGTATTTGAAAATTCAGCTTTGTAATTCCCATGCAGTTGCACATAACTTATGTCCAGGATATATTTGTTGGTTTTATTTTGACAGCATGGTATGCCCATTGCCCTCTAAGCTAGAGAGGAACTGATGTTTGGGACTGTGATTCCCATAATGTTTCAGGGGCCCACTGGCTGAAAGGTTAGAGCTTAGTGTTGGCAGAATTCCCAGGGTTCTTGAGAGGGAAAACATAAGGCCCTGATGTTCTCTCAGCCTTCTAAATATAACTTAGCTGTTTCACCCCAGTTCTTACTTTCCAGCTGCGTACACTTCAGTGGTGTCAAACAGGTTTACACCATGCTCATAGGCTACTGTCAGCACATCTTCTGCTGTCTAGAGAGGTGAGAGAAAGAACTGAAGATCAGCCACTGGCCCCTCAATTACCTCCCTCACTGGACTCTAGCCCATAGCACCTCAGCCTTGGTTTCGACATTCTCTCCCCTTTTCTCATGCTCCAGTCTTGCTTCCCATGCACCCTTCTCTGTGCTTGTCCAAACCCCTATCCAAGTCCATTTCCCTTGTTCTGGTTCCCTCATTGCCCCTCACCCTGCTTCTGGGTCCCATCACTTATACCTCATCTGAGATCTGAGAACCAAATGTGACCCAGGTACCTGCAAGAGAGAAGCCAGGCATGTGAGAAAAGCAGTGGGAGGAAAGCCATGATAGAACACCCTTCCCTTCAATCCTCTTCTTTCTAACTCACCTAGGCCAAGACAGGACACCCGAAGACCAGACTTTCCTAGGTTTCTGCAGGAGACAGAAGTAGCAGGAAGGTGTGGAGCCTCCATTAGGGACATAGATTATCAGCCCCCAGCTCCTCCTTCCAGAATGAGAAGCCCTCAGGGTGTCTCAGTCCAAAGAAACTAGACCCAGTGGGCTACCGAATTGGGCAATACTATGCCCGTAGCACAAGTGAACAAATAAATGAATATTTCTCTGGATTCACTAATACTTCTCTTCCTTCCTATCACACTGAAGATGTGAGTTTTGTCTGTGTTGGAGTCATCTCTGGCATGTGTGGAGTTGGGGGCCAGGAGAAATGTGACTGGCTGATTGTGCTGAGTTTGTGAAAACAGACCTTCAGACAGAGAATGCAATGTTAAAGGGCTGACACCAGAGTGTGAGGGGTAAACCAAGTCAAAGTCAGGCACTTAGGCAGGCAAGGGTCCCCGGATAGGCTACCAGGGGTGGGGAACCTTTTTTCTGCCAAGGGCCATTTGGATATTTATAACATCATTCGTGGAGCATACAAAATTATCAACTTAAAAATTAGCCTGCTATATTTGGTCAGGCTAATTTGGTGAGACGTGTGATGTTAGCTGGTATTGATTTCGTCGGCCTTATACAGCTGCAGGCCAGACATTCCCCACCCCTGGTAGGCAAATAGGCCTCCAACAAAGGTAGGTAGGACATCTGGGTGGGGAGTATGACAGGAAAGGCCAGTTTTCCCTCTTCCTCTCTCTACTCCCTCTGCTCCTGTGGGCTTGTGAAGTCTGTCTCTGAATCAGAGAGCCCCTTCCTCCCAAGGCCCCCACTCAGGTAGTCAGCTCAACTTCCCAAACAGAGCTGCCACAGGAGGGGATCAAATTCCTCAACTGACAAAGCCAGGTCAGATCAGTGATTTCTTCTCAGGCCAAGGCAGCCCCCCCACCCCCATTCCAGTTCTGAGAGCCCAGCAGTTCTCTGAGATAAACTTGGTTACATTACAGTCCACTTTCCCCACCTGACCCCTGTTCCTCAACATGGGTTTAAGAGATTGTGGTTCATCTTTCCGATTTCTGTCCCCACCAAGATAGGTCACAGGAGACTGGGCCCATGGGGCAGGTGGGGGCAGTATCTGGGTCAGGCACCCTGAGCAGGTCAGAGTGAGAAGCCCTTTCCATCCCCCTCTTCCCAGGACACAAACCCAAGGACACTGGGGGGGGGGGGGGGTAGCCTGGAGATCCATGCATCCCTGGCTTTTCTGGGGGTAAAAAGAAAAGCTCAGGAGCATCCCCTGGGTCTGACAGGAGTGGATCAACCTTGGTAAACTTGAATTTCTCCTAGTCAGGGGTATCGATGGAGACCAAGAGAAGGACCAAATAAGGGAGTGCCGGAGACGGGAAGAAGAGAGAGAATAAGCCAGGACCTTCTTAGTGAAGTTTGAGGGGGTCCTGGGGCATCCCAGGAAGCCTCAGGGGTCAGGAAAGGGGAGCAGATGAGGTGGACTGCCCGGCCACCCCCATACCTGTATTTCATGCCAGTGCCTCGGCCGGTGCTCTCTCGGAGGGCCCCAGCGGGCGCTGGGGGTCGGGGGACCACTGCCCGGGCCTTGGGGCCTGACCCTCCTCCTCCTGGAGGATTGCCATGCACCCCGCCGACTGGCCCACCATTACCGCCCCCAGGGCCTGGCCGGGGTCCACACAGACGGTCCTCACTGTTGCGGCTGCGAAGGTTCTGCTCAGTACACGCGATAGACACCTGCATGCCGGCTGGCCAGGACGGGGGTAGGGGGCTCCGAGGGGGCGGGAAGGGTAGGAAACCCGGAAACCCGAGGACAGACAACCGGGGCTGTAGTAGCTAGAGCCCGGAGAACGCGAAGGCTGAGGAGGCTGCGGAGGGAGTCAGCAGTCAGGATCCGGCCCGCGGGGGCGGGCTGCTGGAGGTCGCGGGGTTTGTGGTGGGAGGAGAGAAATGCAGGGGGTTACCAGGAGTGGAGATATTCGTCTGCGGGGACACTGGCGGGGCGGGGGGGGGGGGGGGCAAAAATGAATAAGGATAAAGGTGGAGGGCGATTCTAGGGGGGTAGGGACCTAGTGACGAGTGGGGCTGGAAGGTGCCACCTCAGCCTGAACCTCTGCGGGACTGCTAGGCTCCCACCCGCGTCCGCAGCGAGCCCAGCTAATCAACATGCAGACACCGCCCCCTTGTCTGCATAAACCCGCCTGCCTCCCAGTTAAACCCGTCATCATCTACATAAGCCCCGCCTTCCGAAGCTCTACAGCTTGAATATTGGGTGTACTCAGAGGACCCGGAGAGCAGAGAGTACCAGTTCTCTCTGGGACCCGAGGCAGGTCGGGCTTCCTCCAGTCCAGTAATTCCCAATAGGGGACAACTTAGTTCCCCCAGGGGACATTTGACAAGATCTGGAGAGACATTTTTGACTATCACTACTGGTGATGGGAAAGAATGTGCGACCAGCATCTAGTGAGTGGCTCCCAGGAAAAAAGCATAGGACAGCACCTCCACCCCACCCCCACCAATAAAATATCCAGCCCAAAATGTCAATAGTGTTGCTGTTGAGAAATAGCAGGCTCAGGGGATGTGGCCACCCGGGTTCATGCCTCCACGAGTGGGGGCAGGGCCCCTGACCAACCACCCAAACTGATAAGCTCAAGACGCAGAGGGTGACAAAAAGTTTATTCTGTACTTCTCGTGGTACCTGGTAGAGGATAAAACTGGAGAGAAGACCTGGTTTGGAAGTGACAAGGAGGGCACCAGGATGGGCTGTCTGGGGGCTTGAGGGGTTGGAGGGGCAGGTAGTGGGGGCCCTCAGGAGAAACAGGTTAGGAAGGGCCCCAGGCAGACAGAGATTCTCCTGAGGGGTGAGGTAGGGTGCTTCCTTCAGCCAGCCCTGGCAGAAAAAAAGGGCAGAGAGCGAACGTAGGAGTCCAGTCGGGAGCGGAAGAGCTCACTCTGTACAGTTTGTCCCAGTGGGCACAGGGGATTCTTCACCACCAGCTCCACGTACAGCTATGGAGAGGGAGGGTATTAGAGCTAGGCTTTGGACATTTGTTGTTTATGACTCCAAACCTAGTATAACTTCAGGGATGTGTGAATACATAAGGATCAAGGGCTGGGAGGCAAGCCCTCCTTGAGGAGAAACTGGTGGTGGGAGTGTTGAAAACTGACTTCAATAAAGATACAATGCAGTAGGAACCTGACAGGGAATCTGAAGGAGTCTTGGGGCTATACATGGACATAGCATACGCTGAGGAGCTTTGGGGGAAGGGTCCAAGGGGTTGGCACTGACCGCACTGTAAATGTGATGCAGCACATCTCGGATAGGTCCCACACCCAAGTCAGTATTCATGACAACCTTGATTCCAGTGGGCGTCTCGTAGTAATGGAGTTTGTAACGACTAGTTTGGAAGGCCAGAAAACCATCCTTCCTGCAAGGATGAGGAGGATGTTAAGGGATGGGAGCAGAATCTCTTCCAAAGACACTTCTAAGCCTCTCTAGGTCCACTCCCTTTTCTCTAAACATATTTGTAGGAGCCTAGTCAAGTAGACACCTCTCATCCCCACCCCCCTGTTTAGCCCCCACACCCAACCTCTCTACCTTCAGATCCCCCCCCCCCCCCCCCCCAGCGCTCCTTCCAGCTCCAGCACTCTCGCTCCGGATTCAGCTTCCCCTCTCTGGGGACCAAATGCCCCTTCCACTCCAGAAAGTTTCCTCCACCCCAAAACTCTCAAGGCTAGTCCTCCTTCCCTCAACATCCCCTCTGACTCCGCGTACATGTCTAGCGGGGACATCTTGCTGACAAACGAGCGGATAGAGAAGAGCATCCCGTACATCAGCTTGAACTCCTGGAGGAGGGAAGCAGAGTTAGCTCTCGGTTGTTGAAGGAGACGGGCCAGGGGTGGGAATGAGCCAGGGTTTGGAGAGGTGTGGCTGAGCTAGGGCTATGTTCGTCTGGAGATGCGAGGTCACCCGGTTGCGCGGGGCCCTCTCGTCACCTCCTCCTTGGGGATCCCCGCTTGCTTCTTGCGGTGCCACTCGCTGTAATGCAGACACACTCCATTTCGGTCAAACAGGTACAGGTTGTGGACAGTCATCTGCAGGGCACAGAGTATGTCTTGCTCTGGGACCGCCCAGCCTCCGTGGGTTCCAGTGTTCCGTCCCGGATCCCTCCAACCAGGCGGTGTCCCCCCCCTACCCTGAACTCACCGGAACTGCTCCAAGTGCTTGTCACTAGGTACTTCCGGTTTCCGCGGAGCCCCGCCCCACCAGTTCCTCACGCGACAGCGGAGCAATAACTCCGTTCCAATACCTCTTAGCTAGTTCGTGGTTGTCGGGGCCGCGCATGCGCATCCAGGCTCCCAGGCTCCAGAAACCTTCAGAGCCGCTGCAGGCGGGGTCCCGGGCTGGTGACGTCATCGAGGCGAGCGAGGCGGGTCTTCGGACCGTGGGCGGGCAGCTGCCAACGGTTTTGAGCTCAGGGAAGCGCGCGGGAGGGGAGGTCTTGGGTCTTTCCGGATCCGGGCTCTGGGGAAGGGGCTATCCCTTGTCCTCACCTTGACAAATTCAGGGGCTGAGGACTGGATGTGTGAGATAATCTGAACCGGGTGATGGGGTAGAGCATCTCAGGGCAGGTTTGAGGGCGGCATACTTTTTAGGGACGTTGTGAGGGGGTGTGACTGAGTGTTCACAAAGTTTCTTTTGGGCTAGTAGGAAGGGAGGGATTCTAGGAAGCCTTGTTGTTAGCTTTCTTGCCAGGGGGCGTTGGAGGGGGTATACAGGAGAGTTGACCCTGGGTAGAACCGTGCAGTGGGCGGAGGGGTGTGAGGAGCGTGACGTTCCTGTCTCTCTGAGACTGGAGCCAGTTGAGGAGTAAGGCAGCTGCACAGAGATTAGGCCCCTATTGGATTTGAGTTCGTTTCAGTTTGCACGTTCTGGGTGTGAGAATTTAAGAGCTGAGGTGAACAGTGATAGCTTGTACCAGAAGTTGATCTTCAACTTTTAGCACCCCAGATGAACTGCAGTGGGGCCATTGCCCCGCAGTAGGTCTTCTGCCCCCACTCACCCCTTGTTGCACCCTCCTTTCCCACAGTTTCCAGGAGCTGTGGAAAGAAATGACTTTTGCTCTCTCCCATGACCTGTGGTACCGGTGGGAACCTTTCCTCTAACCAGAAAGTCTCCATACCCTTATTCACTAAGATTCCTTGGCTGAGACTCTTCTTCCTTTCTCCCAAATCTTCCTTCTCTGTGTACTTTCCTCACTGGGCTCTCCTAAAGCAGAACCAGGAGTTCCCAGCTCTGCTGTCTCCAGTTGTCTCTTCCCTGAACTCATGGCCACATCAGCTACCAGCCCCAGTTCACCTCTCCGGGCGGAGGATCTCCTGAGTGATTCATCAGAAGCCCCTGGGTTGAACCAAGTGTCCTCTGAGGTGACCTCCCAGCTCTATGCTTCTTTGCACCTCAGTCGTCAGGCAGAGGCCACAGCCCGAGCCCAGCTGTATTTACCCTCCACCTCCCTGCCGCCTCATGAGGGGTTAGACAGCTTGGCCCAAGAGCTGAGTCGCAGTTTGTCAGTTGGATTGGAGAACAACTTGAAGAAAAAGATGAGGGAGGTGTGTCTGGGGGGACCTCTAGGGTCTTGGGGTTGGGGATGGTGAAAAAAAAAAGCTTTATTGAGATGTGAACTATTGTTGGATTTCAAATTCCTTTTAGGTACAGAGTCAGTCATATTTCTGGGAGCAGTGATTATGAGGGGGAAAGTGGCCTGGGACACCATTATTAGGGAAATTGAGAAATTTTCCAGTGTTTTTTTATTTATTTTTATTTTTTTTCTTTATTGATTTTACAGAGGAAGGGAGAGAGAGATAGAAACATCGATGAGAAAGAACATCCATTGGCTGCCTCCTGCATGCCCTCCATTGGGGATCTGGCCCACAACACAGGCATGTGTCCTGACTGGGGATCGAACCGGGGACCTCTTGGTGCATGGGTCGACGCTCAACCACTGAGCCACACCAGTCAGACCTCCAGTGTTTTCTTTGTCAGAGATACTTGCCCTGTGGGATAACTGTGTTTTGACTGGGATTTGGGGAATGGGAGTGAGGATAAGTTTTTTTCATCCTAAGAGGTAACTAGAGACTTAAGGATAGCAGCAAAATATGCTAAGATCTTTCCAGTTCAAAACTATTTTGATATATGGTTCAAAATTAGGCATGTAAATCATTAAAACATAATTTAATCAATTATACATGTTACAGAGAAGATTGTTATTAGTGTTGCATAGAAAAGGTCTCACAACCAATTTTCAAACTGGTTAGGTCTTCCAGAGTTTAAAAACTGATAGCCATGGGCTACACAGTGTTTAGGCAGGGTATTTGCTCTCTAGTTGGCAGTTCTCACTACTCTTGTCTTAATGTGCCAAATTAATTTATTTATATTACCTGTCTAGCTTCTGTACACATTTGAATATCTGACCCTTACTGGGTCAGTTCCCTTGTTCTTGCTTTTCCAGGTGCTAGAGTAAAAATTCTTGGGTTTTTGTAGGTACTGGATACCATCTACCATGGCTATAAGTAGAATATAGATTATTCAAGTTGCTTCTGGTTTCTGTGTTACTTATTTCTAGGATGGTTCCAAGCATATCTTTGAGATGGAAAGTGTTCGAGGCCAACTCCAGAGCATGCTCCAAACATCACGTGATACAGCCTATCGTGAGTAAACCCCTTCCCTATAAAGGAGAACCTAGATTTAAGGGATTGGAGAGAGAAAGGAAGTGGGGTGAACAGAGGACCTAGACCCCTGAGAAAAGATTTCAGGATGAAAGCTTCTAGTTCCTTGGGAGAGGGGCCAAAGGAGTGGGTGAAGTAGAAAGGAAGGCTCTCTGTTGTTTTTTTCCTTCAAGTGGCCCCTGTTCCTACCTTTACCTGACACTGGCTGTGGGGTCCCTCTGGCTTCCTGCAGGGGATCCCTTTACTCCAGGTGCTGGCTCAGAGAGACGGGAAGAAGACTCCTTTGACAGTGAAAGCACAGCCACCTTGCTTAAGTGAGTTCTCCTTGGGATTCTTCTAGCTTGCTTGCTTTCTTGGAAACCTGAATGTTCTATTCCTTAGTTCTTCCTTTACTGCTATTGTACCTCTTAAGACCTAAGACACTTGTCACTTAGCTTTTCATTTTCTCCCTTTTCTCCTATCTTCTACCCCCTTTACTCCTTCAGGAACATGGGCATCTGCTGACTAGTACCTAGCCTTCTCCCAACCTCTAGTCCTCCTTTTCCCAAAAGAGTTAGCTTGCTTCTGCTGAGACTTTTACCACAGGGGAATGTGGCATAGGGTGAATTATAGAACTTACGTGCTATATATAGTTCTATCACTACTTAACTTAAAGATTCCGGCCAAGTCTCTTGCCCTTTCTGAGTTTCAGTTACCTCATGTCACAATTGGACTAGTGGATCTCAGAAGCTTTCCCAACCCTAATATTTTTACTGGATTTGCTCAGCACCCGGCCCCTGCAAGACTTATCTCCATCTAGCTCAGCCCAAGCCCTGGAGGAGTTGTTTCCCCGCTACACCAGCCTTCGACCAGGACCCCCACTCAATCCCCCGGATTTTCAGGGCCTGAGAGATGCACTGGATTCAGAGCACACCCGTCGCAAGGTGAGATATAAAGGCTTTCTTTTGAAAGCAGCAAAGATTAGAAATAGGGCTGAGTGCTACAAAGGGTAGAGAGTTAAGGGCCTACAAGCTGGGGCTTTGCTCAAATGGCTCTTCAGGGAGGCCTTCTTTTACCATCCTATCTGAAGTGGCACACCTCCCCTCTAGGTATTCATTACTCTGTTATTTCCTCCTTATAGCTTATCACAATCTGATATATCTTGCTTGTTTTGCCCTTCTAAAAATCTCAGCTCTTTGAGGGTCATGCCTTGTCTTGTTCAGCACTATCTTTCTAAAGTTTAGAATATACCTAACACAGAGAAAAACACTCCATAAGTGTTTGGTAAATGAACAGTGAACTTTGTTGCCTTGTACAAAGGCTTAATAGCTGTTGATGTAATGAGCTTTATCTCTCTGAACCTCAGCCTGTCTGAAGCAGGAAGAAAGAAGGACAAGGCAGGAGAAAAGTCAAAATCATTGACTGTATTATCACTTTTGGAACCCTCTCTTCTATTTTCAACTGCCTGGGCATGAATGAAAGGTTTTTGCCTTTATTCTTGCTATGTTGTTTTTGTTTTTTTATCCTCACCCGAGGACATTTTTCCATTTTTTGTTTCAGATAGAGTGGGAGGGAGAGAGAGAGAAATATCGACGTGAAAGGCACACATCGAGTGGTTGCCACCCACACGACCCAACCAGGGCCGGGGACAAACTGCAACCAAGATACATGCCTTTAGCGGGAACTGAACCCCGGTCTCTCCAGACCACAGGCCGATGCTCCAACCACTGAGCCAAAATGGCCATGGCTATTCTTGCTATGTTTAATCTTTGTGTTCAATGAGCTTCTCAGGGCAAAAGTAACTTCCCACTCTTTGCAGTGTGAGCTGCTGTATCCCTGCCAAAAGGTCCATGGACATTTTTCTCAGGAGATCCAGGGAAAGGAAGAGCCTGGAAACTAGGCCCCTCCTTTCTGAGATGGCAGAGGAAGGCGTTGGAGGTCTTGGGCCTTAAGGTTCTTGCTCTAAAATTCCTGATTCTTCTCCAAACCTATTTCCTGTCTCCAGCCCATTTTTCCCTAGAGGAGCTGGGAAGTTTGATGCTTTGGTCAGGCTACGGATGGCAGTACTCATTTTCCTTATTCTTCTTCCCAGCACTGTGAGCGCCACATTCAGAGCTTACAGACCCGAGTGCTAGAGCTTCAGCAACAGTTAGCTGTGGCTGTGACTGCTGACCGCAAGAAAGATATCATGATTGAACAACTGGACAAGGTGCCAGGGTAGCAAAATGTGGTGGGTCTCTCCATGGGGGGCACCAAGGAATAGTAAATAGAGGGTGAGCAACCAACGTCTCTCTGTTCATATTAGGAGCTGGGGTAAGGGGTGGGTTTATCAACTACTGGGAGAAGGTGACTGTTGACCTTGCTCCCATGGGAAGAAAGAGGGAAAAAACATTATTTTGAAATTCCATCTGACTTTGCTGTCCTGAGACCCTGGCCCGTGTCGTGGAGGGTTGGAACCAGCATGAAGCTGAGCGCACAGAAGTACTTCGGGGACTCCAGGAGGAACGCCAGGCAGCTGAACTCACGAGGAGCAAGCAGCAGGAGGTGGGCAATGTGGGTTATATGGCATTAGAACCTAGGTCACTGATTGCTAGACTGAAGGGGGTAGAAATAGCTCTGAAATTATGGTTCCTAACAGATTGACCTTTTTTT